CTTTCCTTTCCTTTCCTTTCCTTTCCTTAGTTGTAGGCCGCCTTTCTCCCAGGCGGGGAGCCCAGGCGGTTTCCATGACTGACGCGTCCAAAAATTTCCAAATACATGCACAAACCCCGCACTGAAGCCTGGTACAATGCATTTTTTTATGTCGCCTTTCTCCAAAAAAAGGGACCCAAGGCGGCTCACAAACAAAGGGTTGAAGGCAGAAGCAGGGCTTACTCCCAAGTAGACCCCTCTGGGATTCCCATCCCATCCACTGCTTTGACATTTTACCGGTTTCCCCCTCTAAGGCTGCATCTGCACTGCAGAAATCATCCAGGTCGACACCGCTTTAACTGCCCTGACTCAATGCTATGGAATCCTGGGATCTGTAGCTTGTTATAACCCTGGAACTCTCCGATAGAGAAGGCTGAATGTCCCACCAAAAATACAGTTCCCAGAATTCCATAGCAATGAGCCAGGGTAGTTAAAATAGTGTCAAACTGGATTAGTTCTGCAGTGTGGATGCATCCCTGGACTTTAAGATGCTATGTCTCCCAGAACTGTATGGCCAGGAGGAGGAGGAGCCTGCTTGCCTTGCCACCTTAACTCAGAACAACACCAACACCATCCTAACAAAATGCACTTATAGATGCTTATAGAATCATAGAATCCTAGAGTTGGAAGAGATCACAAAGGCCATCTAGTCCAACCCCTTGCCATGCAGGAATTCAAAATCAAAGCATCCCCGACAGATGGCCACCCAGCCTCTGTTTAAAGATCTCCAAAGAAGGAGCCTTTTCAACCCTTTTGCCTGATGAAGAAACCAGTAGAGTTTCGAAAGGCTGAAATATGTATAATGTGCATTTTGCTTGGCCCCATGAAGGTATCACTGCATGGGATGTTATTGTACTTTGCTATATAGCCATACACTGGCTTTCCCTGGATGTGACTGTTGTTGTGCGACTTGGTTTCAAGTTATGGTGACCCCCATCATGGGGTTTTCTTGGCAAAGTTTCTTCAGAGGAGGGGTTTGCCTTTGCCATTGCCATCCTCTGAGGCTGAGAGAGTGTGACTTACTTGCCCAAGGTCATCCAGTGGACTTACTGGCTTTATTCAAAGGTGCTGAGTCCCAGATTAAACCAGAGGCTGGTACCCTCCAGTACCCTCCAAACTCCAATGGGAAAATTATAGTAGCATTAAATATAAATTAAAGTGGCGGGGAAAGAAAGCCTTTTTATCTTTTCAGCAGGCCTACACAATCAATTTTAAGTCATGATTTTTAAAACAGCATATGTACTCTTATGAGTGTCTTTTAGTGGTTTTAGAGTGTATTTTAACTGTGGGTTTATGTGTTTTTAATGGTGCTTTGTGTGTACCCCACCTTGACAAACATTGAGGAGAGGCAGCAAAGAAATAATTATGTGTGTGTGTGTG